TTGGTAGGAGGAGGAGAGGAGGTAGGAGGAGGAGGCAGGAGGCGGAAGAAGAAGAATGGAGGAGAAGGATGGTGGGGGGGAGGGGATGAGGAGGGGGAGAGGAGGAGGAGGAGAAGGAGGAGGAGGAGGAGGAGGGGAAGCATACTGCAGATCGGTCAACCGATGCCGAGCCACGAGCACGAGGCCCGTGCGTCCGGGTGGGGGGCCCCTCCGAAGGGGGGAGCGCCCGCGCACGCAGCGCGGAAGGGGCCCCCTCCGATGCGCCAGGGTGGCTCTGGACCCTCGTGCAAGCCCTCCTATTCCTCCTCCTCCTCCTCCTCCTCCACCTCCTCCTCCTCCTCATCCTCTCCTCCTCCTCATCCTCCCCCTTCTCCTCCTCCTCCTCCCCTGCCTCTTCCCTCCTCCTCCTCCTCCTCCTCCTCCTCTCCTCCTCCCCCTCCTCCGTTCCCCTCCCCTCCTCCTTCCTTCGTCCTCCTCTCTCCTTCCTCCTCCTCCCCTCTGATCCCCTTCCTCTCCTCCTCCTCCTTTTCCACTCCTCCCTACTCCGCCCTCCCCCCCTCCTACTCCTCCTCCTCCCCTCCTCTCTTCCTCCCTACCCCCCCTCTCTCTCTCTCCTCTCCCTCCTCCTCTCCTCCATACTCCTCCTCATCCTCCTCCTCTCCTCGATTCTCCTCCTCCTCCTCCTCCTCCTCCTCCTCCTCCTCCTCCTCCTCCTCCTCCTGGACCGCGCCACTATCGCCGCAGCCGTGCGCGGGAGGGGAGGAGCAAGGCCGAGCGGCTCGTCACTCTGCGCACGCGGCGCGGCACGCCGAGGGGTGACGTCTGAGGAGAGCAGCCGCGTGTGCAACGCCATCGCCGTACATCCCCCGCATGACCGTCTCCTCTGCTCCCCCAGCCCTCCCCCAGCCCATCCCGATCGCGCTCACCCTGCTGCTTCGGGAGAAGACGAGCGCCGACATGATGCCAACCCAGACGGCCCCCTGAGAGTCCCAGGCCGGCACACACCGCAGGAGCCTTCAGCGGGGTCCCCTAGATCCCGAGTGGCCAATTCGGGAAAAGACGAGCGCCAACATGATGCCAACACAAACGGCCCCCTGAGATTCCCAGGCCAGCACACACCGCAGGAGCCTTCAGCAGGGTCCCCGAGATCCTGAGTGGCCAATTCCAAGCGGCCATGCAGCCATCTTGCTGCCTGAAGGCGCGCCTGGTAATGAACGAAGAGGCTTTTCTGGCCACGTCGAGCCTCGGCCACGAACATATTCCCCGACCTAGATCTGAGGAGCGGGCCGTTAACCAGAGCACCTCCCGAATCCACACTTGTCCTTATGTCAGCGTCTTGACTGCGGTGGCCGTGCCGAGTCGAGCCCCAACCAAAGATGTCCAAGGAGGAGTCCATGTGGCCATCAGCAGGCACGAGCCTCCTGAGCTTGTCCCTTGCGACGCGAGGCAGGCCAGGCCTGCAACCGACGGGGGTAGCGGGAGGGCCAGGCGAAGACCGACGAGGTGCTCGAAACACTCCTGCGCTGCAGATGTGGACACAGACGTCTTGCCACCAAGCGGTACAAACAAAAGCAATATGGGCATCTGGTTTGTTATTCAACAAAAACGTTTATGTGCTTCTTTGTTTATTTATTTATTCTGACATATATACACATAGAACCACGCGCGCGCTTCGCGCGCGCTTAGGTTCTAGTCGACCCCATCTCTTGAGGAGGTCCCGTATCCACTGAAGTGATTACCCATTGATGGTGTAAGCATGAGGTACAAGAAGCATCCATAATGCTGGCCGAACAGAACCCAAGCACCGACAATGACATATGCTCCTTAATCCGCCGACCCTGTCGGCGTGTGTGTGAGGCGCTCTTCCGTTTGTCGTCGTCGGTGTCGTCGTCGACGTCGCCGTCGTCGTTGTCGTCGTCGTCGCCCTCGCCATCTTCCCCCTTTCCCCGGGCCCTCTTCCTCAACCGATCCAGCCAATGCGAAATCGAATCGAACACCGAAGGGAAGCACCTTCCCTTGATCCCTTCCGCAGCGGGGGGGGCGTCCCGGGGCAACTCCCGGGGGGTGGTCCCGCCGGGTGGTCTCGGGGGGTGGTCCTGGGGGGTGGTCCCGGGGGGTGCCCTGGGGGCCGTGGGGCTCCTGTTATTGTTTTGCCGATCCCGAATATGTGGCGGAGGGTCCCCGGGACCCCCCCAAGAACCGGGGGGAGAGAGCCTCTCCTCCCTTCCCCCCAGCGCCCCCGCTTTGCTCCCCCTTCCAAGCGTTCCATGCTCCCCCTGTCCACAGGAGGGAGCCCCCCCCCACGGGCCAGTCCCCCCCTCCACAGGGGGGAGCGACCCCCCTTGGTCGTCGTTGTCGTCGTCGTCGTCGTCGCCGCCGCCGTTGTCGTTCAGGGTCGGCGACCCGGCAGTAAGGCCTCTCCAGTATTCAATTCGAAGCTACGCAAGCCAGTTTAGCCAAACACATGCAAGGCTATGAATGCAATGCAAAGCAAAAGAAAGCGATGCTCATAAGTGCAATGTGGATCACGAAACAATGCAATTGCACATGCAACGGAAAGCAGCCCAGTGGAATGCAATGCAATACAATGCACGATAAGACAAAAAACCGAGAGAGTCCGAGGCGTCACGGAACTCAGAGATCCCAGGGACGAGCCCCCCTAGTTCTCCGAGAGAGGCGAAGGGGGGCCCAAGCGCGGCCCCGAAAGAGCTCCAAGCAGGCTCCAGAACGAAGCACAGGAGGGCCCCAAGAGGCGCCCCAAGAGAGCCCGAAGACAACGACAGAAAGAGAGGGTCCAAGGAAGTGCCTCCTCAGCGCGACGAAAAAACGCAGAGGCCCACAATGAGCCCCAAGAAGGGCGTTCTCAACAGCCCCATCCCTTGCGAAGGTCACAGCTCCACTGAAGCAGTGACCCACAACTGGCTTGAGCTCGAGGTAAAAAAAAATACCGATCATGCGGATGGAAGCGAGACCTGAGGCCCCAGATGAAGGCGGGGTTCACATGGCGCCCCCCCCTCAATTTCGGCACGGCACTCACACGGATCTTGTCCCCCTGGGAGCTCCTCTTTCGGGTCCAGGGACAAAGTTCACACGGCGTCGCTCCGCCCATCCCGGCACACCCAACACACGACTCGTGCCCCAAAGGGATGTCGTTTCACGTGCGGTCTTAGTGTGGGGATTCGCATAACGTCACGTCCCCCCCCACGCGTATGTCGCCTGTCTCCTCACACGAATCGTATCAACAGGGAGCTCCACCGACGGTTCCAGAGCCAACGTTCGCATCCCGCCGCCCCGCCCATGGCAGTAAATGCGCCCCTGACCTGGGTCGTGAGTTCGGGGCGTCTTAGGTGCTTCTGTGGGCCACGCGGCATGTTTCTGTGAGGCCTCTGAAGCCCTGAGATGGATCGTGAATCGGGAGCCTCTTGAAGCCTTTTCTGGGAGCCTCGTGCAGGACGTCGAAGCGAGACCTCCCATACGCTTACGGGTGACTACTGGGAAGCCTCCTGGGACCGTTTTGGGAGCGTTTTGGGAGTCTCTGGGGGCCTCTTGGGACCTTCTTGGGGGTGCTTTTGGGGCTCTTTGGGGCTCTTTGGGGCCCTCTTGGCCCGTCCCGGGGCCCACTTGGACCGTCTTGGGCGCTTGGGCCGTCTTGGGGCCCTCTTGGGCCGTCGAGGGTGCCTCCTGTGGCTCTCTTGGGGCTCCCTGGTCACTCTTTTGGGAACCTCTGGGGACCGTCGTGGGCCGTCGGGGGGCTCTCATGGGCCGTGTTTCTTTTGGCCACGACTCGTTCCCGAACAGGATGCAGCCTTCCCCAGGCGCAGCCTTCCCCGAATCCGCATGAAAAGCTCTGGTCCCCTTTTCCATCATCCTTTTTCCCTCCTCCTTCTCCTCCTCCACCATTACCTCCTCCTCCACACACCCCTTCCTCCCCATCCTCCTCCTCTAACTCCTACCTGGCCGTCGAGCAACAGGTGTCGGCAACGACAAATAATGCTAAACCTGCCCAGAGTTGCGCGTGCCCTCGACCGTCGAGAACCCAGGAACCCAGGAGGGGATATGTTTGGACGTTTTCGGATCGAACCTTTTCCCCCTCCCCAACCCCCTTCCCCCTCCAAGCGGCGAGCCCAAGGCGGCACAAAAGCATGTTCTGGCAACGGGCGAGCGCCGACAAAGGCAGGCAGGGTTCCGTGCCAGCGAGTGCCTACCCGCCTGCGCCCAGAACTCCTGATCGTTCCTTGTCGTGCCTCCTACCTGGCCGTCGAATAACAGGTGTCGGCAACGACAAAAAAATGCTAAACCTGCCCAGAATTGCGCGTGCCCTCGACCGTCGAGGACCCAGGAGGGGATATGTTTGGACGATTTCGGATCGAACCTTTTCCCCCTCCCCAACCCCCTTCCCCCTCCAAGCGGCGAGCCCAAGGCGGCACAAAAGCATGTTCTGGCAACGGGCGAGCGCCGACAAAGGCGCGCAGGGTTCCGTGCCAGCGAGTGCCTACCAGCCTGCGCCCAGAACTCCTGGTCGTTCCTTGTCGTGCCTCCTACCTGGCCGTCGAGCAACAGGTGTCGGCAACGACCAAAAAAATACTAAACCTGCCCAGAGTTCTGCGTGCCCTCGACCGTCGAGGACTCAGGAGGGGATATGTTTGGACGTTTGCGGATCGAACCTCTTCCCCCTCCCACACCCCCCCCTTTCCCCTCCAAGCGGCGCGCCCAAGGCGGCGCAAAGGTAGGCACGCCGGCTTCCGTGCCAGCGAGTGCCTACCCGCCTGCGCCCAAAACTCCTGAACGTTCCTTGTCGTGCCTCCTACCTGGCCGTCGCGCAACTGTATAACAGGTGTCGGCGTCGACAAAAACTGCTAAACCTGCCACAAGGTGCCCGTGCCCTCGATCACCGAGGATCAAGGATGGGATGTGTTTCGACGTCTCGGTTATCTTGGGCCGGGTAAAAACTTTTCCTCTTTGAACTTCAATCGTTCGGTTCGTGTTCCCCCCGTCTCTCTGCCCTCGCGATACCTTTTCCCTGTTGCTGCGCGAAGCCTTTTTGCCCGCGACACTGCGACGTCCAGAAAAGCGGACCCAGCGATTCTAGGAGAGGGTGCTCCTGGGGGCGGGCCCAGCACGGCCATTTTGGTTCACTACGCTCGCCAGGGGCCGACCCGGGGCAAGCGCAACCATGGATGCTAACAAAGACGGACCGAACGAGGCCCCTTGAAAATGATGGGTCGAGCGATGCCCTCGTGGTGCACTGCGCAAAAAGGACGAAATCCAGCATGTGGCGGCGCGAAGACGGGGGCATGGCGAGGGGGCGGGCGTCTCCAAGAAGGCAGGCAAGCTGCCGGAAGCGATCGGGCGCGCAGGCGCGTGCACCCAGACATCCAAAGGGGCGCCTCGCGTGCTCGACGCTACCTTTTTTTGTTCCAAAGGTCTGGCTGGCGCGGGACCTCACGCGTTGAACCAAGCGCCGTGCCCCTCGTCCCCGGTCACCGTCTCGAGGCGATGGATCTTCCTCTCTAACGACTCATACTCTTCCCTCAGACTATCAGGTATGTCCAGTTGACGCTTTAACGACTCAATTGACGACTCATACTCTGCCCTCGTACCCGTCCCTGGCGGTATCTGCAGTTGACGCGCTATAGTGCTGGAAGCGCAGTCTGGCCGAATTCAGCTTCTTCTCCCGAAACCACTTCGCCCACTCCTTAGCTTCGGCCAGTTCCGCCGTGAGGAGACACTCCCCCCCCTCCCACTTCTTGATGATGTGGAGATACTCCTCCGGACGCGGCTCTTGCAATTTACTCTCGATTCGCATTCGGGTCTTCGCCCGAGTCGACTTCGCCCACTCCAACAAATTGGCCAGGTCTTCGCGCATCTCCGCTGCATCCCGCTGCGACTCCGCGTGCCACATGCTCAGCCGCCTTGAGGCGGCCTTAAAGTCGTCCCGCACCTCCTCGCGGAAGGCAGAGGTGAGCACGCAGCCTCCGAACTTGCAGTGCAGCTGCAGCGGGGCTCCGTCCACCACGCGCCCCGCATCCAGCGCGGTGAACGGAGGTAGAAGCCACTCGCGCCCCCCGGGATACGCGCTCAGCTCCATCATCGGGGAGGCGTGGGCGACGCCGGACATGGTGAAGAGCACGTTTTCCTTGGGCGCCTGCTGGTTGCAGTGCGCCTCGGAGATCGAGGCGTCGACTGTCGTGCTGGAGGGCGCCGCCCAGAAGAAACGGTCGCCAGCGGCCTTGGCTCTGAAGCCATCGACTAAGGAGCTGGGCAGGCCGCACAGGCCGCGCGTTACAACCGTGGACTTCTCGAGCGTCTTCGCCGAGAGCCCCAAGAAACGCGCCCGCCGGATCCATGCTCTCAGGCCGCCCAGGGCGTCCTGCCGGTCGCCAGCGCTGTCAAAGCAGACGCGGGAGGCCCAGTTCGCCACCTGGAACAATTGTGGATTTCGCTGTCCGCCTACTTTCTGCCTGTGCTCGCTGTAGAACTCGTCGCGCAGGGCGGGCTCTCCTAGGCCCCCCCGGCAGTTCTGGGGCGTCTTCAAAGCAAAACAACCTGTCGATGTCGACGTCCTGCATGGTATACAGAACCCAATTGGCGATGGCCAGCAATTCGTCCTGCAAGTCCTCATTCAGTGGCCTCGCAGAGTATTTGTCGCGCAGCCGCTTGCACACCTCTGCGAGGAGCTGGATCTGCAACGGCGTCGCGTCGCCCGCAGGCCCAGTCTCCTTCAGGTTGTCGAGTAGCTCGTCCAGGATCGTGCCGGGCTTCTGCGCGTATAGCTGCTCAACAAGAGTCATGAACCATGTGACCTGCGTCTCTTGGATCTCCGCCGATATCCGCGCGGCTCAGAACTTGGCGGTCAGCCCGGCGCCCGCGATCTTGCCCACAGCGTCCAAAATCCACGCATTCTGGGTCTCGATCGCCGTGACCTGCGCCATCAGCCTCTTCAGCTCATCCAGCGCGAAATCGTCTGACTGCTGCGCGCGCTCTCTGGCCTCCGCTCTTTTCCCTTCTGCCAACGCCCTCGCCTCTTCGATCTCCGACTCGAAGTCCTTGCGCAGCATCTCCAAGCGCTTCCTCGCCTGCTTCTGTCGCTCCGCCGCCGCGGTGGCCCTGGCCTGCTGCTCCAGCCTCTCCTTTGCGGCCTTCGTCGCCCTCTTCTGGCGCTCGGCTTCCGCTTTCGTCAGATCTTCTCGGATTGAGGCCTCGTCTTTGAGAAAATAAACACTGTAACTAAGGCCCGATTTCTTGCACTTCTGCAACTCATGCCAGCACGTGACGCTGTCAGTGATAGACATGCCGTTGACCATGCTGATGCTCCAGCCTGGCCGCACGCCCAAGAATCGGGCCTGGCACGACACGCGCTCCACAATGGTAGTTCCCTGGGTCCAAACGAGACCGTGCGCGCCCATGGCGAACTCGAATTTAACGATGCCTGGCTGCAACGGCATGTCCGACAGCTCACCTGGCATACCCGCTGATATAGGACTCCGAACCATGCGCTGTCGTGTCCGTGCGCTGCTCGCGCTTGAGCCAAAATGGCTTGAGCCAGAATTGCTACGGAGGGCTCTCATGGGCCGTGTTGGAGCTCTCTTGGGCCGTCTTGGGGCCCTCTTGGGGTCCTCTTGGATCGTCTTACGGCCATCTTTGGGGCCTTTGGGTCCGTCTTGGGCGCTGTTAGGACCGAAGAAGCGGATATGCTAAAAACGTACGTTTTCCGAAAGGAATTTGGCTGTTTTTGCCTTTTGGTGACCTTCTGGGAGGCCTCTTGGGCCGTCTTGAGGGCCTCTGAGGCCAAACATATAAATTGCCCGCTGGTTTGTGAAAGATTCGAATTTCTCGAGGACCTTTTCGGAAGCTTCTCGGGCACCCTTGGTGGCCTCCTGGGCTGTCTTGGAGCGCTCTTGGGGTCCTTTTGGTGCGTCTTGGAGAGCTCTTGGGCCATCTGTAAACAATCTTGGGCGGATTCAGGGCTGCTCTGAGCCTCGGGGGCGGGTCCCAGAGGGCTCCTGGGAGGGGGGCACTACCTATGTACAGGGGGGGGGGCCCTGCGGGTTCCCGGGGTCGGAATCCCCCATATATGTATATACATGCATACACACCTACATACATACATGCATAGATGCATTCATACACACATACATACATACACACTCACGTTCAAACATACATGCATCCATACATACATACATACACCCATAAACCTACATCCATACATACATACAGCCATACATCCATACATGCATGCATGTATGCATGCATACCGACATGCATACATACATAAATACATACGTACATACGTACATGCATGCATGCATGCATGCATGCATGCATACATACATACATACATACATACATATGTATACATACATACATACATACATACATACATACATACATACATACATACATACATCAATCCATCCATCCATCCATCCATCCATACATACATCCATACATACGTACATACATACATACATGCATAATCATACATGTATGCATGCATACATGCGTGCATTCATGCATACATGCATACACACATATGCATACATACGTGTGTATATATATGCATGCATACATACACACAGTCAGACAGACAGACATACATACATATATGCGCACACATCTACATACATATGTATTTGTGCCTGCTCGGGGTCTGCGCGGATTTCTCGAAGGGCGCTGGACCCCGCTCTCCCGGCGCGCGGAGCGCACCAGGCGGCGGCGGATGCGCCGCCGGCGCCGCCAGGGCGGGCACAGCGGCGACCCGAGGAGTCCGCGCTGAGCTCCGACAGTTTCCGTTTGCCGTTCATGCTGCCCCTCGACTCCGAGAGGGCAGGGGCTCCGCAGAAGGGCTGGGGCCGCCGAGACCTCCACGACACGCCTCGACAGCACTGATCTGTGTCAGGAGCTGGCTGCGTGAACTGCCAATGCATCTGCGCGTCGGGGCTTGATGCATTGAGCGCGATGTGCTTGATGCCCCCCCCGCTTATTCGATGCTGGGCAGCGTAAGATCTGCCCAACCACCCGCCCCCAGAACGCGCCTCAAGCTGAATCGACATGCAGGAGGGCAAAGGGGGGGGGGGGCGACACCGACAGGGGAGGGGGCTCCAACAACGTTTGCGGTCTGTTGTGCGAGGCGGGGATTGATCCGTCACCACCGCCTGTTCTGCGAGACCTTGGCGAGCGGTGGATGTGGACATGCTTGTCCCTGGTCCAGGCACTAATATATTCTTAGGTCGGGCCTGTCCCCCAACAGGGGGATTTTGGACGAAAAAAACGCCAAACACGCGCGCGCTTCGCGCGCGCTTAGGTTCTAGCTAGGAGGCGAGCTTGAGTCAACGAAAGTCGCAGGGAAGGGGGCAGGGGGAAGAAGGCCAGAGAGCGCTGAAGGATACAAATACTGGAACCCTCTTGTGATTATATGTGGCGGACAGAGTACCAGGCGGGCTCCGTCCGGCAACCGCTCGGGGAGTTTTTTGGACGTAGCTTCCGGAGAGCCTACCTGAAAACCTGGATTGGCGGGCCCTCCTTGGAAGGAGCAACGGTCTCGAAGCATTTGGGGGCCGATTTGTATTTTTGGGGCTTCCGGAGGCTCATTTTGGGCCTCTTGGAGAGGTCTACTGGGGCCGTCTGCGAGGGGCCTCTTGGGGCTCCTGGGCCCTAGGACTCCCTCTTGGGGCGGAAGGCTCGAGCTTGCGCTTCGTGGTCCCCCTCTGGGGCCCCTCTTGGGCCCGTCTTGGGGCCCTCTTGGGCCATCTTGGGCGCCTCTTGGGCCGTCTTGGGGCCCTCTTGGGCTGTCCTGGGGCCCTCTTGGAAGCTTCTTGGGCCGTCTTGGGGCGGTCTTGGAGGCCTCTTGGGCCGTCTTGGACGCGATGAAAGCCCAAGATGCGAACATGCGAAAATATACGTTTTCCCATAGGAGGGGCACGATTTTTGTTTCTTGGACCTCTCTTGGGGTGCCTCTCGGAACGTCTTGGGCTGATTTGGGGAGCCTTTTGGCGCCTCTGGGCGGCGTTTTGGCGCCTCCTGGGATATGTTGGGCCGGAAGCTCGGAATTCGAGAGTGGCTTTCTCCTTCTGGGACCCCTCTCGAAGTCGTCTTGGGGTTCTCTTGGGCCGTCTTGGGGCCGTCCTGATCCACTCGTGCGCAGCCTTGGAGCGCTCCCGGAGGCCTCCTAGGCCGTCTTGGAGGCCTCTTGGGCCGTCTTGGACGCGGTGAAAGCCCAAGATGCGAACATGCGAAAAATATAAGTTTTCCCATCGGAATGGCACGATTGTTGTTTCTTGGACCTCTCTTGG